GAATGATACAGGCGTCCGCGGGACGCCATATATTGTGTCCTGCCCAGCGGGTTGTCCTTGTTCATGTCACCTACAGCACAGATCTTCTAGTCCTCGCCTACTTAGTGCACTACTTGGAAAACTAACAATCGTGACCGCCGGGCTGCCTATACTGAATTCGAAATGCAATATCGACGCGTGCAGAGGATCACTGATTCGACAAGTCAACTTGGAGTATTGGTTCCCACTCGGTTTCTGGTCTACCATCATCCGGATGCAGGTGGCCTATGGACTAAGTTTTGGGCCTACGTTGAGCTTAGAAACCCTTAGGCGTGTCCCCGACTCGGCGGTGTGTGTTAATTTCGCTGTTGCCGGTAATATAGAGGGACTTAAACATCTTTTCCGAGAAGGACGAGCTTCTCCTAGAGACGTTAGCACAACTCGAGGATATTCACTGTTACGATGGGCGTTGTATTCTAAGCAATATGCTACTTGCGTTTTCTTGATACGCGCTGGCGCAGATTCGAGCTACAGACCAATCGCAGCCAGTGACAATAGTCCTCGCATAAAAGCATGTCACTTCCTGCTCGAGGGTGGTAATTCAGATGAAACCAACGAAGCCCTGAGGACTATTACTAACGGTAGCGAGTATCTTGGTGACTTCATCGAGGACTCCAGGTTTACCATGACTCACAGGATAGTCCTAGGCCTTTCCATGAAGTCATTGGAGGAGGAATTGATCCTCCACACAGAAGATATCGATACTCAGGATAGTATGGGCAGGACCCCATTAGCCTGGGCTGCCGCGCGAGGCGATAACCGCTCGGTAGTTACATTACTGAGGTACGGCGCGAACCCCAACATTCAGGATACTCAACTTTCTGGTCCTTTGTCAAATGCTGCAGCGCAGGGGCATACAGCATGTGTTCTGCTGCTTCTCGATGCAGGCGCTGATGCCGAGCCTGCACTTCCTCCTGGGATCCAGAAAGGTAGCCCATTGAGTGTTGCAGCCAGGAATGCCAAGGACCCCGTCCTAGCGAAGAGGCTCCTTGATTTCGGCGCCAACGTCAATTCCTGCACAACTGATGGAAGGACTCCATTGTTCCACGCAGCCAAGAACGACGATATTCGCCTAGCTATATTGTTACTGGAATATGGCGCTGATATTAATTACATTTCGGTCGCTGGAGAATCACCATTAACGATGGCTATCATCCACAATAGTCATAACGTTCTCCGTCTGCTCCTTGAGCGTTGGCACGAGTACTCGGTGTGCCCACGGCTTAGGGGCCCTCATCTCTTAGAAGTTGCAGCATCATATGCCGACTTTGAAACACTACAGATCCTAGCTGATACAGACCATTTTCGCCATAAGTACGACAAGCATTTCACGATCGGAGATTTCAGGTCCAAGCTTGCGGCGCGTCCAGACATGTCAGAAAAGCTGGCGGCGACTTTTGATGAACTTCTCAGTATCATCAATGCAGCGCCGTGTCCCAAGGAAAGCGAGTCCAGTGTGCTAGAAGCAGGTTTCTTCTCATGCTTATCGTCGCGAAGCAGTACCTTCGGCCAAAGCTTTGAACGGCCGTGTCCGGCGGGCTTGCAATTAGACGATTCCGATGATGCTGACGAGTCTTTTCACGACGCACTTTCTTGAAGCCCCATTGAGTACCATCTCGCAGCATTCACCCAAATTCGATGCAGGGTACACTCTAATAGGTATAATCTTCATAATCCTCGCGCGTGGTTGACTGATGAAATTCCCTAGCAGTGCGCCAACGTGGCCCGCGGAGGGATCTGCTGCAGTCAAGAAGTTCATAATTGTCGCGTATAGTCGTTGATACCAACACGGTATTAACGGCGTCGTTTTTCCGTGACAATAATTACTGAAGCCACTCTACTTTGACACGAATCCTACACCAGCATGAGACAGCAGAACACTCCAATCCGGTTATAATGTTGCTTGTGCCTCGCATCATAAACGCTAGAGGCATTTTCGCGGCTGCCTCTTCCGCCTATCATCAGGGTTCCAATACCGAGGCCCTTCTCGACGGTGATGTCGGCACACTTCACTAAACTACACACTTGTAGAGAGGAAGTCTCTGAAAGGGTTATCAAGCCCATAAGGGCGCTTTAGGCCAATTTACAGAAAACCTAGCTCGAGTCTACTATAGCACACTGCTCGGTACCCCACGTTCCGAATATTGATGTCCCACAAAATCATGACAACATTGGCGTACCCAAATATGGATGACGTTATTAGTATATGCCTCGTCTCGGTATCAATCTTGATAATCGTCCCAGAAGCGAAATATCCTCTAGTGATTTTCGCAATATTTATAATCTCCAGAACAATAGCCGAACCCGCCACTGAAAATGGCATACAATTTCTGATGCTCTCATGTGAGTGCAGATATCTAAAGGCGAGGGCTCTTGTGTATTGCTACGATATCCGGACCATGAGTCATATTTCTCAGGATTCGGCACGGCCCGGGTTGAGATTGTTGCTAGCAAGTATCTACCAACGCAGGACCACTAGTAGCGGATCATTACCCTCGACTTTGATGATGCCTCGACAGGCCAAAAACTGGGGATACGGGGCATGAAAGAGAATAACCCGCATGCCATTCTGCTTTTAGGAGTAAATTTATGATATCGGCTGCGTGGCGAACTGCTCACCATCGGCGAAGCTCCCCTGTCTAATACGATTCAAGACATCTGCAATGAGAGCAGTAACCTGTATGAGTTTGGACAATGAACCCGAAAGCGATAGGGAGAAAACAATGTAACCAGGCCTCTGGCGAAAATGGGGAAAAGACTTGCATACACTTAGTCAGTTATAGCGAGAATATCGAGGGCATTTTGATGAGGAAGACCTCGGAGCTTAATCACAGCGTGGCGAGTTCTGAATGACATCAATTGATGTCATGCGATCCACGTCATTGTTCATCATTTACGTACGCTGACTGCTTTCTTTTGAAAGCAAGAAGCCCCCTTGTATATGAAGACAGTGGCCGAGCTGCAGATAACGGCAGACATTATTTGTGCTTTTATTTCATTTCCATTCGACTCTCAAAGACAACATACCGGTCGTATTACGAGCAACAACTTATGACTAAGAATTCAAAGAGGAGCAATGAATGATTCCGCCTACGTTGTTATGCCCATTCGGGCTGACGGTGGTCCGCCAGAGCAAGATGCCAATGAAGGTAATTTATTCAGGCTAGTTTCAACTTTCCAGCTGTAACTGAGCACCATAATGATTTAGTCGCCACTGCCCTTGAAGACACGTTGTACGAGAAGCTGCACCGTCATGGAAATACCGGGATGGACCCAGCGTCAGCATCAATGCAAGAGTCACAGCTAGCGAGAGAGGGACCTCTGAAAAAGGTCATCGGTAAGACACCCAACCCGGCATCATGATCTCTCCTAGTTGTATTAACGTGATGATGTAGCGAATTCGGATAGTCTTTACAGCTACATCTCTGTGAGTTAAAAGCCATTGATCGCGTAAGATAAAGTTGCTAATATCATGCAGTGGGAAGATCCGGTCCGCACCCTAACATCGTACTTCGGGCTTTTGGGATTGCTGTATGGTATTCATTACCTACGATGTACCCAGTTGCTCTTGAAGGCGGGCGCAATTGGTCTCGGAGGTATGTCACCATGAATGCATGATCTGTACCACATCGACGCTAACATGCCGCTTTTTCTAGTGATAGTGTTTACCTCCCTCCTAAGCCGCTCGACTAGGTCCGACTTCTTTGCTCGCATGCGCCCAAAGGAGTACAAGCAGGTCCCGGAGCCGACACTCAACGCGACGCTCAGCGACGTGCATGATCTTGTTCAGTATCTTGTAGTTCAAGCTCAGAAAATAGTATACTGTGAGGATCTGCAGGCGACGTTCAGCGTGAGAATTCATTTCCTCGCCTTTGAATGTGGACTTGAAAGCTAATCAATGATCAGGCATTCATGACTGTTACGGCTCTATTTTGGCTGATAAAGTTCCTGTCACCCTTCAATCTCGAGATCTTAGGTCTTAGCACGGCCTATCTTATTCCTCTACTTACCACACCCAGCGGTCGTGAAGCAGCTCAGACTGCGAAAGTTCGGGCTCAGGAGCTTGCGAGCGTAACAGCAGAGAATGCTGGTGTTGCTATGCGGGGTGGTAAAGCCAAGGCGGTCGACCTGTCGCATGGGGCACAACACGCAGCCGGCAATCTTCTGTCAAAAACACAGCAAACCGCTTCGAACATGACCTCTGGCGCGCAGAATCTTGCTGGGAATTTGACGTCCAAGTCGAAACCGGAACCTACCGGCATAACCATTCCGTCTAAGACGCAGCCTGTTGCTGGGAACTTGTCAACTGGGGCCCAAGCGATAACGATGGATGGACAGCCAAGTGTTGGCCATGCGGTCGACAAGGGTCAATCGGCAGGGGCCGAACGGCATGTTTACGAATACCATGTCAAGAATGATGCTGAATAGTTTGGGCCTATTCAAAACGCTCAAACACCATTGAGTACAGTCACCGCACTTTACTATCAGTTGATGGTTTTAACACCCCTTAGAGTGTAATCTAAGTAGCCCTGAAGGCTTGTGGCAAGGGATGGTAGAGTATGAAAAATTCATATGAGATATGTGCGACGCATTATGCTTCATTGACAAAGTTTAAAGGCGAATCGTTATGTACACTAAGTAGCCACAAGATCTAAAATTTCCCGTGTTGAAAACATATGTTGCAACTACATGCATCAAGACGATTATTCATCTCTCTCTACGCGAGAGGTATTGTACATATAGATAATGTATTATATTGGTCTTGAATTGAGTATATGCATCGCAATCGTCATGATTAATGAAGATATTATGGACCTGGTTGGAGGTGTAAGTAAAAAACGGACAGTTTTATGCTAATATTGCATAATGAAGCCTTGGTATTCATTAAACCAACCGCTTCCTCAAGCGAGAAACATAAAAAAAAAATCCAAAATCGGGCGCATTGCCTGCGCAATGCTAAACTCCGAATCGGGGAATCGAACCCCGGGCTTGACGGTGCTCGATAGGATGAGAGCGTCAAATGTTGGCCACTACACCAATTCGGAAAACATAGGTATACAGATGGAATTGAACCACCAATATTGGACTCGCGGGGAATCGAACCCCGGACCACTCCCAAGTTTCGTGTGTTCTTGAACGAAGAAGAACATCGGATGCTAAGGGAGTATTATACCACTAAACCATAAGCCCGAATGAACCTAACTAACTAACTTAGATAGGAACTGTGGAGATCGCTGGACCTGAATAGCTTTATCTCCCCTCCGAGTCTACAATTAGGAAATTCGGTATCTTCGTCGACACAGTGATCGATCGTGATGGTGGCGCATGTTGTTGCGGTCGAATTCCGCAGCATCGCGGAAACCCTCCTCACCTTCAATATTACGTCATCTTCTTCGCCCGACTTCTAAGCGCCTTGCGATCTGCGGGATACCAACGCGGAGATAAACCCACCTCACAGATCACCCCCAGCTTTGACACCGTGACTTCAGGCAACCATTGCGATGCTGCCCAAGATACTCTGCCTGCACGGCAGCGGCACAAGCGCCAATATCTTCCAAATCCAAGCCATCAGGCTCAGTCGCCTCCTGCAGTCTCACTTCGAGCTCGTGTACGTCGATGGATTCTTCGAGACTGGGCCGGGGCCCGGGGTGCTCCCTTTCTTCGAGGGGATGGCGCCCTATAAGCGATGGCTCACGGACAAGGACGGTCAGGAGGAGAGGCCGTGGCCGGAGCTGGGGCGGCTGGTTGAGCTGTTCAACCGCAAGGGGCCCTTCGTCGGCGTCATCGGGTTCTCGCAGGGCGCCAAAGCGGCGACGCACCTGGTCCGCTGGCTTGAGCAGCGTGGGCAGCAACTCGAATTTGCGGCGCTGTTCGGGGGCACCGTGCCCTTCCGGCTCGCCGTCGGCACCGATGAGTGGGCCGAGCTCATCAAGCCCACCATCATCACGAAGAGCATACACGTCATTGGCGACGACGACCCGTGGCGTTCCGAGAGCGCGGCGCTCATGGACCACTACGACAAGCACGGCCGAACACTAATTCGCTTCAAGGGCGGCCATCATATGCCCGTCGACCCAGAGGACAACGCTCGGTTGGCGAAGCTCATCATTGCGTGCCACGAGGAGAGCAAAGACGTGTTCGCGTAATGCAGTGCATCTAGTCTTTTGATTTGCCAGGGGTTTCGAGCGGTTTAGAGCAGGAGCGTTACGAATGACGAACAATAGATAGACTGGTCTAACGGAGAGCGTCTTGTTTATAGACTAGCTTAGCCAAATAAGTCTGGTATGGCCTTCTACGCAACAACGTGTGCGGGACAGACCCGATGTCTTAATACAGAAATGTGTTGATACAGAATGGCCGTTTCTGTTCATGGTGCGGGACCAAAGAAAACATGAGATCTCATCTTGAACACAGACTTCTCTACGTCTAGCTTTCACCCATCGGGCTCAAGTACAATTTAAAAGCTTTTCTAGAAAACAATACTTGATTATTTTAATTTTAAAGTTAGCATTGAAGTCGCTAACCCGAAGGAAGAGTCCTTTCGCCAACATAAATGTTTCTTACTATTTACTTCATTGGAATGGGCGGTGGCGAATTTTACTCCTTCTGAAATGCCTCATTCGCTGCTTTCTTTCATCGAGCCGGTGGGTGCTCACGTTCTCCTGATAAATGTTTCAGGAGAGTCCGGTCACCGATGCAGAGCCTATAGAGGGTCAAAAGCTGCTCAACGAAGAGATCCTGGGATTGGGTTAGGAATATTTCTGGATCAGCCGGAGGTATCGGGGTCTGATTAAGGACGCGGTCTAGGTGGTCCTCGCTGAAGATTTCCCCCCCGGGACATCTGATACTGCCCAAGCGCGATAGGAGCACGTCCTTCGGCTCGCAATTTAAAAAGTATGGGTCAATGCCTAATCGAAATAGAAGAAAGGCGCAGTCCCAGCTTTCAGCGGTAATAGCGTGACCCAGCAAATCGCAGGATTGCGTTTCGCCCATCTGGTGCAAGCCTCCGCACATGGAATCGCATGTGCTATCACATTCTTGCAAAAACACGTTGGGGGGAAGGGACTCCAATAGTTGTGTTGCGTCTCCGTTGTCGATGAGGCCGTGTAAATATTTCATTGCGGCTGGACCACCAGCACCAACAACGCATCGGAATATTCTTTGTGAACCCCTCCTTGACTCCTCAAAGATGAGGTTTTCAAATTCCTGGAGAACTTGGAGTGAAACCCATTCTGGATTCCAATCCGATCTTTTTTTTGGCGACAAAATCATGCTTCTCCGAACGACCGTGTCCCTAATAGCGTAGAGATATACCTGAGCCACCGGAAGACCCTCATCAGTGGCGACAGCCAACGCAGCAATGTCACTCCCAAGAAACAACCTATTATAGGTCAAGTCTCGGAGAGCAGCAGCGGCCTCGTCATATAATCCATCCAAAATGATCAGTTTTATCGCGTCATCCCAGAGGTCCCACGGTATCAGGTCTTGGAACGCGAGGGTACGCTCGACAAATGATGCTAACCACTTGGTCGCCTTGGCCGAGACCGCGAATTGAAAGGTTTTAAGAGCCAATGGGTCGCGATCATAGAAGTAGACCGATTGCCTGAATACGTCCAAAACGCGAGGCAATTCAAATTTAACTGCGACCCATACATTATATCTGTGCTCCGGAAGTATCGTCTCCATGAGATAGATCGCGATCTCTTCTTGTCCTTCGGCGCAGGCCAGCGCATATGCCAGGGTCTCCTCGAGCGGACGTCTGAACTGATGCCTATTGTCCCTTGTAAGCTGAGTGAACATATAGGGATCAATGAAATCCTCAACGAAGTTCAGTGAATCAGGGTAACGAAAGTACTCCAGGTGAAGAGCCAGAATCCTGTCTTCTCTGTCACCTATCATCAATGAACAGCCAGCCTCAACGAGCAATAGGAAAACATCGACACGATGAGCCGTAATAGCGGCTTCAATCGGAGTTGGGAAGCATGTCAGATCCCATCTGTCGGTGAGCCCCACGGAAAGTTCCTTTTGGAATATGTCTAAGATTGTCTTGATCTTGTCCAATCCTTCATTTTGAATGGCATAAATGAGACTAGGCTGCGTAGCAGGGTGCTTCGACTTAAACGCCGGGTCTGTGAGCCTTTGAGTTTGAAAGCGTGCGTCCGTTGAGTACAGTTTCAAAGGCATACGCTCATCGAGAATGGACTTGATCCTGGAACAGGTACAGGTCAAATTCAACAAGGTGCTCGGAGTTGCTATCGCTTCGATGACCAACTCCAAAATCTCCACGGGGAGTGCCATTTTGGGGCTTTCGTGTTGTGAGTGGGAATCAATGACAGATTCAGTGCTTGGGTACTGAAGGTAGTTTAGCGTGATTGCCGGTGGTTGTTTTCCAATTTAGAATATGTGGGTTCTATAAATACACAATCTCAAATTATCGTGAGCTTTGTCATAGCACATGTATTGTAAATATGCACGGCGTTAGCCTTTATATGTATTTGAACAAAGATTGCGAACCTTGAACATGGGTATTATTTCGCACGAGGTTATTACTATACTATTGGTAGTCTCTTTTAAGCCTTAGCATACCAGTACTCTTTGTATGAGCCAACATCTCGAGCAAGTATGCTCAAAAAGTGACCCAGATATTGGTTGGTAGTTAACCGAAATTGGGGGACCACGTAAGATCTTAGACTTACTAGACTACCACCATTGATGCCCAGACGGATTGATATTGTTTTTCTTGGCACATCCACTTGTTTCGCCCGGTATAGCTCGTGAATGCAGATCATTCTGAATTTTGAATATTTTAATAGGGCACCATGGCAGTACTACCCATGCTCCCAGGAACAAGACAAGTCTTGTACGGAGTAGATAAGTTTTAAGGCATGCTGAAGCTGTGAGCCTCGTTAATTGTCTCGAACCTAACGAGCCCAAATTACTGCCAGATTGCTGCATGGTATTTGAATATAGCATTCTGCCCCCGATGCGAGCAGAGTGCAGTGCCCCTGACCAACTAAGACAACCCATGCATACACTAGGTACACGGTAATACGTAGTGGATAACTAGTTACTCGATGCGGAAACTCGATGCTTAATATGAGGCTATGTATGACTATTTTTACGACCATGTCGTACGATGGAGCTACGTATGTATATAACAAGTCTCGAGATCTTAAAGATGGGGAAATTTAAATAGACTCGACTATCTAACTCTCGATCACTCTCTCTATAAGTCATTCGTTTCCCCAATGAAGTCGTTCGGTCTCAATGCGGCGACACTCGCGGCCCTCTTATCTGGCATTGTCCCAGCATCCACCGCAGTAGTCTCGAAGAGTAGCAATGGAATACCATGTGGCCGCCCAAAGCCCACTAACGGGGCTACTACGGCAACACCTACACCGACAGCGACGGAACCTTGCGCGATAGCCAGAGATGCATTCACTTCACAAGTCTCCGCGTCGCCGGGGATGGTACCGACGATGGCCGCGTCCCTAGCTTATGAATGTCTGAAGTCGGTCCCCGTTTATAAGGAGCCCGCAATCCGCCTTTTAGACGAGCTAAAGCCATTTCTTGAGTGGCAGTCTGACCAGGCTTTTCTGAAAAACCCTCCGTCTGACTACCCTTACCCACCAGTTGACATACTTGGGGGACTAGATAGAATTCGTTCTAACCTCGAAGCGGACAAATATAACGGCGAGTTGGACTGGCAGGAAGAACTATACATAAACATCGCGGGAAAGCCACACAATGGCCACCTCTCTTACCATCCGGACTTGCTAACTGTTCCTTTTGAATGGGTCCGTCCGTGGACATTGGTGTCGGTGAGTGAAGATGGCACCTCGCTACCCGTGATCAAGGTGCTTGAGGACGTGATATCACCTAGCCAGACATCGTCGCATGTCGTAGAGATCAACGGAATCGACGCCGCCACATTTATTGAGAGGCGTGTAACGGATTCATCCAACGCGCAAGATCCTGATGCCGGATATAACACCATGTTCTTCAGCCAAGCCAATAAAGCTGGGCTTCAAGCTAACGGCTATTTTGAAGGCGGTGGGCGTGAGAGGTAGGCCGTTCTAGGAGTTCAAAGCCGAACATCATGATAGCTGACGTTGGGAAGGTTCTTTTACCCCGGGAATGCCACCAGTTTGACTTTCGCCAATGGGACCGCAGTTCGAAAGCCCAACATT